AAGTGGTATGGCCAGGCTGAGGCTTTGTTTATTTAATAAATCTTTCCCCTTTTTTAGGGGGGTGGGGGAGGACATAAATGATTAGGAATTGGACATTTGGAACTTTTAATTTTGACATATCAAGTTTAAATTTTATGATAGGACAAGAAATGGTTAATTACTTCAATATTCAATGGCTCTAATACACTGTAAGAGATTTTAAAATTTTGACAAATAATTGGTATTTTAAGTTCCATATAATTATTGCTTTTTTATTTTTCCATTGTTTCAAAAATTGGTAAAATAAAATTAAAATTTGACAGGCATATTCAAATATATCTCGTAACCTATAGTAAAATTATACATTCTATTAATCATAACAAATATGTTTCATTTATCAATTATTTGAAAATATCCTTTGTTATATATTCAAGCGCATATCTGGAGAAAAAAACACTACCCTTGAATCTATACACCTTTGGCTTAATTAGTACCTTTTATCCCTTTTTAGAAGGATTAACATTCAAGCATTAATTCAAAGGCGCATTATTATTGAGTTTAATTGCCCCTCTTGTGATGTCGAGATGGAAACAGCAGTCCATTGTCTCTGCAGATGCCCGCTAGCTAGGGTAATATGGTTAATCTCGAAATAGGGTTTTAGGCAAATGGAGGTGATGTTCTCTTCTGTGCTAGATTGGATATTTCATTTATTCCACATCATGGAGAAAAAAGAGATAGAAGAAATTGCGAGTGTCCTATGAGCCTTATGGAAAGCATGCACGCAACATGAAGATATTCAGGAACCAGAGTTATGAGCCGATGTAAGTAATCGAATTAGTTGGCAATTTGATAGAGCATTACAGGTCTATTAATGGGATAAGGATAAGGAGGAAGAACTCCCATCAACACAGTACATCTAAATGGCGACAGTCAAGGGAAAGAAAACTGAATGTGGATGCAGCTATATTTGAGATAACAGGTGAAAGGTGGCTGCGAGCTGGCTTTGTTGTTCATGACATGTCACAGGAGGTAGAATTAGCTGGCACGAGAACAATACTCACGGGTCAAACGGCGGAGGAAGCTGAGTTAGCTGCCTTAGTTTGGCTTCTACGTTGCTGCCAAAGGGAGATTATTGCTTGATATTTTCTCATATGCCTGATGATACTCAACTTGTTAGAAGTTTATTTGAAGGCGGAGGGGAGGGGGGGCTAGTAGGGGCCTGCCCCTCCAACAATTTTACATTTTTTATAATTTAGCGTTATATTTTTAAAATTTCATAATTTCATCCTTATAAAACTTTTAAAGTTTTTTCAACATATTTTTATTTTTTAAAAAATTTTATAATTTTGTCTCAACAATAATTTTTTATTTGGTGAGATGTACGTAACAATTAATTTTAATACGACAAAAATAAAATCTATTGTAATAAAATTATTCTAAAACCCCACTTCTCCAAAACTTCACAACCACTGCCTCTTGTTTTCTTTTTTTTTTTTTATCAAATGCTGTAGAAATAAAAAATATATATTTTTATATCTTTTTGCTTGTCAGCATTTTCTGTGCAGGAATCCTTTAGTCAGTAACTCAATTTTTATGTCCTAATAATTGATAAGTTTGGTTTATTCTGAATAATTACTTACCTTAAATTACTATTTATTAATTTGATCTTTTGGATTAAACAAAACTGCCAGTTCATAGTTATTGTCAAGAATCGGACATAAGCCAAATTCCAAAAATATACGTACAGGGGATCCAAACTTTAAAATTTGAGGGGACTGAACTAATATTGTGAAATAATAATTAATGTTTTTATTTTTCTTCAATAAATATATCAAATCTATTAACAAAAGAAAAAGAAAGAATTTTTAAAGGAAAG